AGGTTAGCCACTTGTGGCCTATGGCCACGGAACGCCTGGAATGTGGCCGGTAAGGCCAAAGAAACGAATGCTGACTTTTATTTCGTTTTAATTCATTTCACTTGACCTTGCTCATGTGACTCGTCCCTACCGTGTGGGACAGCATGGTCGTGCAGTGACTTGCCAGTTCTGTTTTCTGTGGCTTCGTTAGTTTAAAAGGTTTCCTTTGACTTTAGTGGGGGGCTGCAGATCTCTCTCTTTCTCTCTCTCTCTCTCTCTGTCTCTTGCTCCCTCTTCTTGCCTATCTCTGGGATAGTGGCCAGGGAGCTTCCCTGGTGATTGATGGGAATTCCGTGGTCATCAACACCGTAGGTTTCTCCATGCCTTGAGAAAGTCCTGCTTGGTGCTGAATTCTGTACCCCAGCTCTGAGCGCCTGGGGCATTGTTCCAAAGAGCATTGGATTTTCAGAAATGCCCGTAGGTCTCAGCAAGGAGGGTGTGATCGTCAGAGGCTGGGCTGGGGCTGGGGCAGTGCCCCCAGAGCTCACCTATTTACCCCTCACTGTGCAGGCGGGAGGTGCCTGGGTGACCTGCTCATCACAGCAATCAAAACTGGGCTAGACCAAGGATATCCTCTGTGGTCAAGGCTGTGCGTGGGTGGGAGGGCTTCCCCAGGGGCTCCCAGGTGGACAGAGGGAGCTGGGCTCACCGCGTGCTGTTCTATGGGATGTGACCCTGGTCCCGCAGGGCAGGCAAGAGGACCCGGGTTCTGGTCCCAGCTCTGCCACTGCCAGGTTGTGTGACTCTCACCTTTCTAAGCCTGGGTCTCTTCATCCGTGAAATGAGGAGGCCAGATCATCTGCTGATGTGGGAATCCCTTCCACGTCTGGCTTTATGGCCCATAGATCATCACGTCCTTAAAGCAGCCCCCTTAAAGCATCCTTAAAGTCTGAGGAAACAGACTTTTAAGTAGCGCTGAGTGGCGGGCAGGTCCTGACTCCCAATGTTTGAAGTGGGGTATCTATGAGTGTCAGCCCCCCAGGCATCCTTGGGTTCTTTAGGCGGGGTAAGTTCCTAGGTTTGCTACCCAGGAGGGCTGAGGGCCAGGGACTTGCTGGGAGAGGTGGTGTTGTTACAGAGCGGCTGTGTTTTCTGCCTGGGTTCTCCTCCAGTGAGGGGTGTTTGTGAGAACATTGGAATCACAAAGTGACCCATGGCGGAGAATGCAGCCAGAACAAAGGCGCCCTCTCCCCGCCGGGCCTGGGGAATACTAACTAGTTGACAGGAATTTTAATATAAAACTCTCCCTCTTCCTTGTCGTTCTGAGGTTTCAGGAAGCCTTCGGGCTTATCGTGCAGAGGCACACTGCACAGACAGGGCTCGGGGAGGTGAGAGGTGATTTCCTGCCATTCTTCTGTGGGGCGGGCTCCCAGGCGGTCATGCCAGGCTGACGGGCGCAGTGCGGGCTCCCGCTGCTGGGGGGAGAGCTGGATTTTCATGGGGCGGCAGCCGAGGCAGGGCCCGCCGGCATGCACCGA